AAAAAGCCAGTTCACTAAAGCTTCTTGTATTTTTTATACAGAGGTCATTGCAGAGAAGCTACACTCAATTTTACTTGAGTTACTCTCTCCAAATGTGAGTCCCTACAAACACTGACTTCAGCTATGCAGACAGTTGAAATTTCTAAGCTGTTTATACATTCCAGAATAAATCACATTTATAGATGCATCTTGGATCCAGTTGGTTTTGTAACTAATCAAATTATGATTACATTGGTATAATTCAAAATAATGACTGAAATAAACTAGAAAAATAACGCAGTAGACTCCAATGATAAATAGACATCATTGATAAGCGAACTGTACAAACTCTTAGAATAATTGGTGGTGGATTTGTCCATTATTCTGTGACGGGATTTGGAATGCTACTGTTGAAATTGTCTGTGGGCAGCTCAGTTATGGGAAGATTACTGGCTATATTTGTAAAAATAAACGAAAATAAGAAAAATTGTACATTTTTTCCATATTTAAAAATACATTTTGTGGAAAAAATTTCCTTAGAAATCATATTTTTTCTTTTCATCTAGTTAGAAACTGCCCAACTCTTTATATGAAGAAATAACTAAGAAATTTGTGTAATTTAACTATGTACAATAATTTTAAGCTTTGAAGTGAGTAAAACATTCTGTACTGTAGCTATTTTAATCTTGTTTCTGTACTAGATATCTCAGCTGTGCAAGCTACAATATTGATTCATCTGGGTGGAATGAAATATGACTAGCAATAGGGATACAGAAAATTCTGTTGATCTGGTTTCCTTTCCCTGCCACTGTTCCTGACCATGAATACCTCAGCTTCCAATAGTTTGGTCAAAGAGTGAAAAAAAAAAAGCCTCTGGGACAGGAGCAGCAGCTTCAAAACCATTGCAAATTTAAGCTCATGGTTTCCCTATTGTGGTGGTACAACTCCATTTCTTTCTCAATGCCACTCTAGATTCTCACAGAATCACAAAATAACCTGAGTTGGAAGGACCCACAAGGATCATTGAGTCCAACTCCTGGCCCTGCACAGGGCAGCCCCAAGAGTCACACATGTGCCTGAGACCATTGTCTAAACACTTCCTGAACTCTGCCAGGCTGGGGCTGTGACCACTTCCCTGAGGAGCCTGTTCCAGTGCCCAACCACCCTTGGGGTGAGGAACCTCTTCCTAATATTCAACCTAAACCTCCCCTGACACAGCTTCAGGTCATTCCCTCAGATACTGTCACTGGTCAGCAGAAAGAAGAGAATTAGTGCCTGCCCCTCTGTCTTCTGCTTGTGAGGAAGCTGTAGTCTGTGATGGGATCTCCCTTCAGTCTCCTCCAGGCTCAGCAGACCCAGTGCCCTCAGCTGCTCCTCACACAGCTTCACCTCCAGACTCCTCCATCTTTGCTTTGCATACTCTCCAGCTGCTTTATATCCTTCTTATATTGTGGTGTCCAAAGCACTCGAGGTGAGGCCACCCCAGTGCAGACCAGAGCAGAACAATCCCCTCCCTTGCCCGGCTGGCCATGCTGTTCCTGATGCACCCCAGGACATGCTTGGCCCTCCTGACTTCTGGGGCACTGATAATTCATTTTGCCTTGAACTTGCCATCAATCCAGATCCCTTTCCATGGTGCTGCTCTCCAGCCTCTTGTCCCCCAGTTTGTACATACATACAGGGTTTTCCCATCCCAGGCACAGAATCCAAAACTTATGTTTTTTAAACTTCATACAGTTGGTGATTGCCCAGCCCTCTAATTTATCTGTGTCTCTCTGCAGGACCTCTCTGACTTTGAGGGAGTCAATGATTTCTCCCATTTTATTATCATGGGCAAACTTAAGAGTCCTTACAGTCCTGTGCCCAAATTGTCTAAGCAGCCATTGAAGACCACTGAACCTAGAATGGAACCCTGAAGAACCCCTACAGTGACAGGTCGCCAGTCTGATGTCACCCCATTCATTATGAATCTTTGCACCCAACTGACAAGCCAGTTGCTCACCCTTTATATGACATGTTTATCCAGGTGTGTGCTGGACATTTTGCCCAGAGGCATCCTATGAGAAACAGCATTGAAAGCTTTACTGATATAAAAAATATTGTTTCAACTGGCTTATCAGCTGCTTATACTGCCATATACATATACATCTACAGTGATATAGTGATATCACTGTGTATAGTCATTAGAATATAGAAGCATAAAATATATAAATGATAAACATCACTGTGAATAGTGTCTGCTTTCATATTTAAAATATATAAAGAAACATTACTTCCTTTCTTATTCGTGCCTTTTCTTCCCAAGACATAATAAGCAGCACAATGAAATCTCCAACCTATTTTCCACATTCAAGTCCAGGAGAGATATAATGATGAAACTATTTTTTTCAACAGACTCCTTTATTGCATCCAAAGAAATTCAATAAAACATTGTAATAATAGTTTGAGTGCCCTCACTTTAGCTTTAGAAGAGCATTGGGAACAATTATGCACACCTGTCTTAGTAGCAAGGATGAAGAAATAAACGTAGGAAACAGCATCTCCAGAGAGCTTCATCAAAGACCTGGAGGCAGAAAACAGCCTTGACAGATGATGTCAGATTCCAGTCCAAGCAGTGACATTTCTTAACTGCTCAGACCTCAAAAACATGCGTTGGAAGAACTGTGATTCAAGTGTTCATTTCTGAAATGTTTCTTTTCCTAGAACCTCTCTTTGCTCATGCTGTTACGTTGCAGATAATTTACTGCATGCCCTGGCTGAGTGGATGACGATGTTTACTCTGCATCAAGCCTCTCAATACCCTCATTCTAAGAGCAATGCTGTCTTACCTGCTAACAGCAAAGCGGCAGCATTCAGATGAAATAAAGTATCTTTTTTGTTTGAAAGATGCTGCCAGTTCTGCACAAACACAGAGAAAACTGTCATAACACAATCTACGTGCCAGAGTAAAGCTATAAAACACTTGGTAAAATACTTTAAAAAGCAAGAAAGACAGAGTTCATAAGACAGTTGAAGAATTTTACTTACATAAATGCAACATAGAGACCTGAATATCTTTTTACATTTATAAGAGGTGTATTTAGCAAATAAAATTAATTTTCATTCAACTAATTGCATCCTACATTATGGCATTAATTATTTTACCTTTATTAGGAAAGGTTTTGGCTAATACAAGGGCTTTGTCTCCTTTGGGGAAATTATTCCCTTCCAGTCATACTGATCAACTTTTTCACATGAACTCATAGATCTTGTATTATAGTCTATTTCAGACATATCTGACAAAACGAATTAATAAATTAAAAAAACCCAACAAAACAACAGACTAATAATAAACTATCCTTGCTTAGTTTTAAAATGAAACCTGGTTTTGCAAAATTGGATTTTAGCAGGATTCCGCCTCTATTCATTATTTAATTTGATACATATTTCATTTCTGTCACTTCCTTAGCGATTAAAATATATTTGCCAGGGAGATTCAATAGAAACCATTTTACAATTGTTCAATATTTAATCTCCAAGCAATTGACAACTAATTTTTGTTGACATTTAATTGCATGATTTTCTAAAGATCTCTTTTGTTAAAGAGCTTGCAGTACAGGTCAGTAATATTCAGAACACACTTCCCACGTACACTCATCTCAGGATGTACCTGTTCTGCTTGACCCATACATAATCGTAGACGAGTGAAAAAAGTACTGATGAATTAAATTATATGCAAATTTGGACACATATGCCTCTCCTACTAAATAAAATTCTGCTGGTTGCATCTGCTGTGTCATAATGGAGAGTAGAACTACCAGAGAATGAATCTTCTGCCTCCAGATGTCCCCTTCAGCCTGTGTGGGGTACTAGTGAAGCACTCTTGTGATAGTCAGTTCAATGCTTTTCATTTTACTGTACAATTCATCAAACAAAAAGAAATATCTTTCCATTTTGTGATGTGGAGAGTGGATGTTCTTACAGTCCTTCCGGATCAACCATCATTCACATGATTGTCTGAGAACGCAGGAGACTGAATATGATGAGCCACATCTCTTCCACAGTTGTGTTCCTTGGCTCTCAAAGAGACAATGAACAACAACAAATTAATATAAAAGAGAAGGATTAAGTCAAACAAACAAGAATGGAAAAGAAATGAAAAAGGAAAGGAAAAAGGAACAAGAGTAAAATGTTCTGGACAAGAGTAAAATGTTTTGGGTGACGTTTGAGCTGTGGGGCACACAGTTCTCTCAGAGCTGGAGGGGAAGGTTATTACAGGGAAAACATCATCCTCTGCTCTCATCAGATATTCAAGTCCTGGTCCTCTCTGGCACTTCCAGCCTTATTACATGCAACTTTTTCAAATATTTAACTATTTTTATCTATTTATCCTCCTCAGGCCTATACTGTACTCTGTTGCCTGGTAATGAAGACCATTTGGAATCCTGTCCAAGGGACAGTGTGATGTGGTCCGGGATACACCGTGTTGGCCCAGGAGCACAGCTGTCAAACTACACTTTGGAGGCTAGGTTAAAGGGACTTGGCACCCTAACAGTGACCTCCTGACGCTGTGGTGTCTTTGGCACATCTTTTGTCATTTCTCATGGATAAATTGTGCTAAAGAGAAAACATGCTGTGCTATCCTCGCGAGGAAAAGCTTTATCTATGTGACACCAACCACACAGAGGGCGGTCAGGAGGAACTTGAGTCTCTTCTCTCCTATGGGTCAGGGATACCAGGTGTGCCAGACCTTGGGATGCCAAGAGTCCTTTCCCCACCCCCACCGAGTTGTGTGAGACAGACACCACAAAAAATCTCAAGCTCCAAACCCATAAGTATTTATGGTGAACCCGAATCATAAACAAACATTTATGTTTTGGAGAGCTTGGCATAATTACACATTATTATATATATCATTATTGGGTCACTACGTCAGAGTACTACAAATTACTATTAGTGTACTAATTTGATATTATAGAGCTTTTCTTTCATTTTTTTTTTTTAATTTTTAGTTTTAATTACATGATTCTGTGTGTTGTCAGCACATTTATAAAACAGAAAAACGAATCCGTCCCATCAGGTCTTCAGCAAGAGCAGCCATGAAGTCTAGCTTTGTGTTTCAAGCAGGCCCCGGGGGCGAGGTTTGCACCATCCGAAGTTACCCGGGCGCCGGGCCGGGCCCTGATCCGCCCCCGCCATGTCCAGAGCCCTCCGCAGCCATTGCCGGCCCGGCCCCGCCCC